CCCCCCCCCCCCCCCCAAACATATGCTGACCTGACCATGCACTGGTTTTTCTTCTCATACATTCTTCTCTGAGGATCAGCAGTGTGAAGATCATTAAAGATGTATTCTGCAGAGCAGAGGTCACTGTATGCTTCTAAACATCTGCCATGATGCAGATGAAAAGAGTCTCTGAAAAAATTAAGTGGTGTAATTTGGTGGACCCCATCTTCACCACCAGCAGTTTGCAGAGGTAACTTGTTTTTCCCACTGGAGAGAAGCATGGCTGCGCACGGCTGGATCTCTGCTGGGCTGGGAGAAGCCTGGCTGCTCTGCCTCTGGACGTCTTCGCACAAATGGCCCCATTACAGGTTTTCAGGGCTTTTTGAGTTTCTCTGGAGCAATTTGCACTGCTCTGTCTTGGACTCCATTGAGGGAAATGTGATGGTAGCGGTGAGGGAATATAAAACTGTAAGGGCTGCCTTCTGAGTTTAAAGTTGTATTTTTATAACATGGTGTTATCTTTAGGGCATAAAGATTGGATACATGTAAATTCAGATATAGTCGTAATTCTTGCTGTTCTTGTGGCGGGGTTTGTGGTACAAGGGTTGGGCGCTGGTCCCTGGGGAGTGAGGCAGGGGGCAGGAGTAAGTCCCTTGTCTCTCCAGGAGAATCCAAAGAATGCAGCCGTATCTGTTCGGGGTCTGACTTTAAGCGGAAGCAGACAGCTGTCTGGGGGTATCAGAGGTCCCACATTCATGTAATATTTCTGATTGCTTTGATTCTATGAAAAGAATTGATCTCTCACTGATTTCTTCTCTGACAGAGATGCTATTTGGCACAAACCCAGTGCTAGATCTCTTGATGGGTGTTCCCCTGTCGTCTAATACTACTATAGGGGAAGGTGTATGCACCCCGTGATTTACACAAGATCAGCTGTCCTGTGTGCAACCTTTTTTGTGTTTTGTTTTGGTTTTTTTTTAAATTTTTATTACCATGATGTTAGGGTATAGTATTGGAGGAGGGCAATGGAGCCAAGGTGCTTAGAGAAGATAATTCTGATTCTTTAATCATGTAGATGTTAAATAAGAAACTCTGTTATAACAGAGGCTAGTCCCATGCCTCTTGTCTGAGAAACCTCATAAGGAGCTTTTCTTTTCTTCCACTTCAGAGGGAAGTGTTTTTTGGTGATAGTACAGAATAATTTCGAAACGTTAGGAGTAACTGAGCAGCATAACCTCCCCCCCCACCCCATGCTTTGATCTGTTAAATGTGAACTTGAAGGATACCTACGGCATTGGCAACCTTTTTTGCAGCATTAACACTTGGGTGTTGAGGTGCTGTGCGCATTGAGAGCACCCAAGAGTCTGCTGAGTGCCAGTAGCACCTTGCTACTGGGAAAAGGAAAGACCTTTCATCTTTGCCTGATGGAGATCTTGGTTTAACTAGCTGTTTGTGTTAATACAATTAAAGCAAGTGTGCTCCAGCACTTGGCTAATCACTGAGTTGTATTTTGGCTCTCTTTATTTCTTTTGTCTTTTTTCCTTTTCTGTTTTCTAAAGGTGACAGGGGCCTGTATTTGAACACTGATGTGTCTCCCTGGCTGTACCAGGTCACTGGCTGATTCAGTTTTGAATGTTCTGGGTATGGGAAGATGGTAAAGGTGGTAATTGTTGTATGGGGGTTTTATTTAAACAGGCAAATTAGATGAAGGACACTTGCCTGTTAATTAGTCAGTTAATTCACTCAACTAACTGAGTCTGGTCCAAGCAGAAAGGGAGGGGTTTTTTTATTATTTTGTTGAAACCGGAAATTCTCTCTTTGTAGGTAAGATGCCCCATTTTGAGTGGCTGATCTCTGTGATTTTGCTGATGCTCTCTGAGGCTGTTGTTAGCCCTGGAACCCCATCCCCGGCAGTCTAGTGGTTCTTGTTAGGCTTTAGCTGTTGCTGGGTTCTTGCCTTGCCTTGGAGGGCTCAGACAGGTATTTTACATCCCTGACTCCAGAGCTCAGCCCGCAGAAGCCCGGTGAATTACGCTGGCTATGCATGTGGCTTGGGGGCAAGGAGTTGGTTGTGTTATTCATATAGGCACTCCCTTCCAGTGTGCCAAAGAGCAAACTGGGTACTTGTCTACCAAGGCAATTATTTCACAAGAAAGTTGCTGTAGGGAGCCGCAGGAGCCAACATGGTTAATAGCGAGAAAAGACTTCCCTTATCTTTTTCTTTTTTTTTTTTTTTTCCTCCCAGTGTGTATGTCCCTCTTAAACCATTTTTCAGCCTGATCTTGACTCTGAAATAGGTCTGCTGCTTATTACTGGGCTAGACTCGCCCCTAGGCGTGAAATGTTATCTGCCTTGGGTTATCCCAGGCTGTACAGCTGGTGAGGAGCAAGCAGCAGGCTGTGTTTCAGCCTTGTCTGGGCGAACATCAACTCCACGCTTCCCACAGCAGGTGAAGCAGAAGGGAAGGGAACTGGGTCACACGAGTGTCCTAATGCAGAGTCTAAGGGCTAAATGACGGCTCTCGAAATTGCTCCCACGTGGGAGCACTGAGGGTCCCTTGCCGGCTGTGTTTCAGTGTGGGTGATACGTGCTGTCCCCTGAGTCATACAGGCATGGGGGGACACACGGAAGGGGCAGCTTCACTGAGCTTCTCTTTTTTAAAAACAGAGTGTGCTTCTAGCTGGCCTTTTTTTGTTTGTTTGTTTTTTGTTGTTTTAAACTTTGAGCTGATAGTGGTGGGATCCAGCATCACTTGTTAGTGGCACAGGGCACAAACTATGACTGGGTTGGGGCCAGTCCCTGGTTGTCTTCAGAGCTCCACTGGCGGAGTGGGCAGGTGACAGAGAGCTTTCTGCCTTGCAGGCAGTATGACTGTCTTTCTTCTGTCAGTTGTTGTGGCTGCTGTGAATGTGCTCTCTGAGCTTTAAGTATAAACCCTGATATCTTCCAGGAGAGCTGATCATCTCAAAACATCTGGGTGGGGTGGGAGAGTGTCAAAGCACTGGTTTTTTTTTTTTTTTCTTTTAAAGTAGGACTCTCTGTTTACCAGGGGTCTGTGTTAAAACTTTTTCCTGTTGCTTCGGATACTGTTATCCATTAAATAGTGCACATGAGTTGGGTACATTACAAGAGCTGAAGTAATACGAGAGGGTCTGTTCAGGAAATATTATCTATCTGACCTCCCCATGTCCTCTTTTGTGGACCAGTGGGTGGCAGTAATGGTGATGCATCAGTACCCATGGCCCGAAGCTGCTCTGGTAGTGCCCATCATCACTAATAAATAATGCAGCTTTGGACAGACTGAAGGTTCTTTCGCCCATCGCATGTGGCTCCTCTTTAGGGGTGCGGTTGGCCTAGGGAGAGCACCCTTGTTTCCTCTTTCGAACTTGACTCCCAGTCGGCTGGCCATGAGCGAGGTGCAGAAGGAGGGCATGGCAATTAAGGGTCTTGACCTGGGAGGCTGCAGCTTGGACTGAGTAACACTTGGAGCTCTGCAGGGTCAGGCTGAAGTGACCCGTAAACAACCCAGGGGTGTTCATCATGTGTGCCGGCGCTGGGCCTGTTACATCACCGAAAATGGCATGCGGGAGCTTTCAGCATCCGTTGGAGCCGAGTGAGCATAGTACGGGAGTTGCCAAGTCTGGGTTTTGAGGACAAGGAGGCTTCTGCTGTGTCCCCCAAGCTACAGCAGGAAGTGTGCTCTCCTAAATTGCAAGTCGGAGGGATTCCTCTCCCATGGCTTGGGTTTGTGTGCTGGCAGCCTGCCCCAGCAGGGCAGCAGAAGCAATGCTGGCCGTGCTCTCTCCTGATTAATGCAGTCTTATGACTCACAAAAAGTTAATGACTTTAGCCCAAGGAGTTACAGTGGTGGTAAATCTGGGCACTACATGTATTGTCCTTGCTCTTAACAGCGCAGCATAAACATCAAAGCGGGCAGATGGGCTTTACGCTGGGGATATTTGTGCTGTTGAAGGGTGCAACTCACGTGTGGTGCAGCAGCTGTGAGCTGCTTGCTATTAGGAGCATAAAACAAAGTTTGTAAATGTGGAAATATGCCTGGAGTGCAGGCTGGTAAGATATAGCATGGTTCAGCCAAGCAGTGATCATGAAATGTGTAAGAAATGTTTTGTGCATGTTTGGGTGGGGGGAAGAAACAGCTATTCCATCCTTCACCATCTGTTCTCTTCTACCCAGGGAGCGCATGGAGTTATTGGAAGAAGCCAGGAAGATGGAAATGGCAAAGTTTCGCTACATCCTTCCTGTTTATGGCATCTGTAAAGAGCCTGTTGGCTTGGTCATGGAATACATGGAAACGGGGTCTCTGGAAAAGCTCCTGGCTTCTGAACCTCTGCCCTGGGAATTGCGCTTCCGAATCATCCACGAGACAGCTGTGGGGATGAACTTCCTGCACTGCATGTCCCCTCCACTGCTCCACCTGGACCTCAAGCCTGCCAACATCCTGCTTGATGCCCACTACCACGTCAAGGTACTCATCGGGCACTCTCTGCCAGAGACCCACTTTTGGATATTCTTGCATGGCTCCTGCCAAACTCAAAGGCTGAGAGAAATCAGCAGCATTCCTTTTGAGTTAAAAAAATGCCCACCAACCCAATCCCTCCCATCCCTAAACTTGTCTACCTGATTTATACACCACTTTGGCACATAAATAGAGGTAGAGTTAGGGAGCTTGTGAGAACTCTCCTGAAATTTTAGGAGGGTGCTAGTGTAATTCGGAGACAAGGGGTGCTGCTATAAATTTCCTTGCAATAGGTTCGTGAGGCAGCTAAGAACAAGGAGAGAAAAGAAGTGTGAACCTCTAAATCATCTGTGCCACTTCCAAAGCACCTGGTGGTAACCTTTTTCTGTCTAGGTCCTTCTGGCTTTGTACGCTCCGCTAAATACCCCGATGTCATTTACAGATGGAGTCCAGAGAGGCCTTACCAGAGGCAACTCATTTTCTTCTCTAATTTGCTCAGAGCATATGCAGTAAAGGAGTGTCTCTGTCCTGACTGCTTATGCATACCAGAGGTCACTTACAGGAATTTTTGTGGCTGTATCAGCATGAAATTCTTTTTGTTCTCCATTTCCAGAGTAAGCTAGCAAACTTGTTGGCCTTCTCTGTTGGCGGTTCTGTTTTGACAGCTGGACTAAGGAGGTTGTGCTTGCTTTCTGATCCTTCCTTTTGGAGAGGAAAGAGACTGAATAAATCTTTTTCCTGATTTTTTTTTTTTTAAATCAGTGTCCAAACTCTTAATCTCAGAACTGCAGATTTAATCATGCTGACTTGCTGACATAACTCAGTACAAGTAGTCATAGACTTTTATCAGTGCCATCATCCATCTGCTCCCTATTTTCCTGTCCCCCTCAAACTAGCCAAATGGCTTTGGTCTTGTTCTGTACTACTCTAAAAATGAAGTTTACATTAAATGAAAACATCTCTTCTGATGTCATGAGAGGGTTGGAGCCGTAAGAGGTGTGTGCCTCTAATGAAATCACACCTGTGTCAGTCTCAGCTTTTTTACTAGGCCTCTAAGTGGTTTACTTCTTACAATGATTTTCTTTTTTGAGACAGGAGGCATCTACAGGTGGTCCATGGTATTATGACCAGAACATCAGGATCTGAACTGTTGAAAGTATATTCTCACACATTGGTGCTGAGAGGCCTTTGCTAAGTATTTCTATACCTAAAGCTTGCACTAACTTGTATAACTCCTTAAATTCCTAATTCATGACTCATCCATGAGCCAAGATATGAAGGCTGTACTTTTCTCACTGTTTCAGGAGGTTGAAATGCTGCCTGATGTTCTGCCTGCTGTATAGCCTATATCTGGGTGGTGATGATGTAACACAAGGGGCCATGTGTGAAGTGTGAGGTCATTGCTGACATCCCTAAACTGTTACTACTTGCTCTGTATGCGAAACACGTGAAGGTCTTCGGACCCTTTCGCTTAAGTTCAGAAAAAAAAGTCTAATCCAAACCTTTTTCCAGCCAGCAGTCTATAGGTGTCTTGGAAACCCCTCCAATTAGCAAAGCAGACATAGGAATCTATATGCAAAATCAGAGATGTACATATGTGAGGCGCCTTCACTTTAAAAATGTGGCCCCAAACCTTCTTTTTGTGTGATGTGAAACATGTAATTACATTTCAGACCCTGCAGCTTGATTTGATGTGCATTTTCTTGCTGGAAGGCTAATGGAGCTGATGATTGAAATGTTTTTACTGTTTAAATGTTAGTGTTAATTTAGTACTTGACCTGTCCCTAACAGAATCCTAAGGTGAGTGAAGAGATCTTGCAGACTGCAGAAGAAGAGTTTGGAGCTAGGGAGGACTTTTATAAACTGTTTGCCCTTGAGCCAGGAAACAGTCAGTCTTCCAGTGGAGCACATTAGAAGCACTTTTGTTCTGTATTGCTAGTTAAATGGAAACAGGCCCTTCTTTTACAAGCACAGTGCTTACTGTAAAAACCCTAAGTGAGGATGATGACTAATGCAGTAGTGTTGTACAGAACTTATCATCAAGTGGGTGCCTCTGTATCATAAAGCTGTCTCCTGTGTGTTACATAAGTGTGTGCTGAATTGTGTTCTTGGGAGGATGATTAAGAGCATGGGATTAGCCTAAGCACTGAGGAGGGATATAGACAGACATATTAACTTTTTCAAAGGCATGTTGGGTGATTCCTTGGTGATTTTTAACTATACATAAAAAATATGTGCAATGGAAGGTAAGGCTTTGCTGTTTTTTGGAGGATGGATGGATGCCTCCTCCCCTGCGAATGGTGGTAGAGCTCAGTGCTGATGGGAGCCTCAGCTGGGAGCTCCCTTCGCTGCTGTGTCCTGCTCCATCTTGGCTGCCTTAAGCAGCGTGGTTTCCTTGGGAGGATTATTTCATACCCACGCAGGCTTTGCTAGCTGGAATCAGCCTGCATTTTTTTTTTTCCCTTTAATGTCAACCTGTTACTACTGTTTGTACCAACAAGATCCTCCCTGCCCCTTTCTCCACTGCTCCATATACACAGCCTTCCCATCCTTAAGGGCAGTCTAACACCTAGTTTTTGCTTAACTGGACCATGTCTTATGAGCTTGTTCTTCAGCTCTCTTGTGCTCTGTAAGTGTTCTGGATGTCTCCCCTAATCTCATACCCTAACTTGTTGCCAGCTGCCATTGCCTGTGTGCTCTCTCTATTGCTGCTTCCCAGGTCTCTTGTCTTCAGTATCTGTTACTTTTTGTTCAGGTATTTAAAATGAAGTCAGCCTGCAGCTGAATACTTTTGGACAAAAGCATTATTTGTAAGGTCTTGTTTCTCTTACTATCCAGTCTGTTTTTTGCAGCTCCTCATCTTGCTGTATGTATGTATACACACATGCACGTGCATATATATATGTGTGTGGGTACACACACATGGAGTCAAATCCCACCAGTTATTTTCCATTTCACAGATTTGTTTTTAAAGAACTTGAAGCAGGATGTGCTGGTCTCAGCAGTGCACTGCTTTAAGCTCACAGTAGTTGCTTTTATTCCCCCCCACCCCGCCAGAGCTCCCATTGTGTTGTGCTGTGCTGATGGTCTTCCTAACCATGGATGGGTTGCCTCTGTGGTCTTTGCCTTAATTTGCTTCAGCTGAAGAAGGGGCTGCAGAATTTCTGTGTGGAGTTAAAAGCCTAGTCAGATGGCAAATTTGTTTGTCAGAAAGCTTCTTAATGTGGGTCATTAACTGTAGGTCAAAGTAATACCTAGAGGCCAGGCTGGTAAAGAGCAGTTGTCTCTTTTTATTAGACTAGCTGATGTAGTTAACACAGCCATTTTTTTTTTTTATCAGTTGCAAATGCTCTCCTGGTATTAGAAATGAGAAGAGGCTTTGTTGTTTTGGGTGTCCCTTATCCCTGTTTCCCACCCCTCCTGATGAAGGTTTCCATGTAGGGCTGTACTTATGTGGCTCTTTCATTCCAACCAAAAAAGCTGGTTTTCACCTCGATCACTTCTCTAATTGTTCTAATTGTGGTAGTGTGGGTGTGGTGGGGGGAACAAGACCATCCCTGTTACTGTAATGAGATTTGTGATGGATCAAAATGGATGTTTGACCATGGCTTTGGTTTCTGCTGCTTCTGGAGAGAGTTTTACGAATGTTACACCCAAAATAGGTTTTGAGAAGTCGAGGTTTTGAGGTGTAATATGTAAATATCTTCAAAAATTTATGACATTTCTTAAAGAACCAAATTGAAACAACCAGCCTTTCTCCCCTCCTCCAGAAAAACAAACAAGGCCACCCCCCCTTCCCCAGCCCCCAAAACCCTAAAACCCTGTAGACAGATGTGGTGGCGTTCTCAATATCCAAGTGCACAGAGACTTTGGACAGGGACAAATACTGGATATGTCAGCAGCGATTAAAAATTAATCTGATGACTTTGTTACCTATTTGATGAGGAAGACCTTTTGGTGAACTCTGTCCCCAAGTCCATTGCAGTGGGTTCTTGAGTCTTACTTGCAGAAAAATGACATGAAGCATCAGAAGTTAAGTGCACACTTCAGGGTGGCCTGTCAGGAGGCATCAGTGAAAGCACTTTCCAAGCACTGATTTTGCTCCTGGGAGCTACATCCCTGACGTATTTGGGAATAGCTGACTTTAATAACCATTGTAGTTACATGTACATATCTCCTAGTTTTCAGGAAAAAAAAAAAAATCCAAAAAAATAACTTGCCAAACTCAAAGCATCTAAAACTTTGTAAGTGGGTGTTTTTTACAAACCGGAATGGAAATGTCCACAAACGACAGAGGCAGAGAAAGACCTGTGTGTACAGTAAGCTCAATTTTAAGCAAACAGAACTTTTTTTAAAAAAAGAAAAAAACTAAAAAAAAAGAAAATTATCTTCAGATCTTGGAATCTCTCAGTAAAATAAGTGTTGCTGGAAAGTGGGCAGGAAAACGTGCATCTCCCTCCCCAGTTGCTCCTCACGTGTTTGTTCTCACGCAGACCTTTAAACAGCAGAGACCGAGCAAGCTGTCTGAACATGAACAATCCCACTGTCTGCGTGGGCTTTGGCCAATGTTTTTTCTTTTCTTCCTACCTCTTCACCGCCTGTTTTGCATGAAGCAGTCTGTCGCCTCCGTGTCTCCTTTTAACCCTGCTGATATTAGGTATGCTTTTGAAGCATGACGGGATCCACCTGAAATAACTGATGTGAGGAGTGAGATTACAGGTTCTGTTGGATCATGTGGTGTTGCAGGTCCCAGAGTGGGCTGCAAGGGGATGTGGGGGAAGAAGCAGGGAAGGGTGCTCTGCTTTCACTGCCTTCACCAGCAAGGGTGCCTTGTGTTGCAGAACTAGGTACCTGGCAAGCAATTTAAAGGCAAAATAGGTAAGTTAAATGGCTGTGTCTTCCACCCACTGCACAGTTCCCACTGATGTTAAAAGAAACTGCATGACTAAGTACCCCATGCAGTGTGGAAAATTTACCCTAAAGGAACTAATACAAGCCACAAAAGCTGTCTGCAGAATCTTACTCTTTTGTTGCAGCCTGGAAGATAACAGTTCTTCGATTTCCAGTGCTTTCTGCAGAATTTCATATGATTGAAGCTCTGCCCTATGGATGAATTTCCTAGTAATTGGTATAAAGCCTGCTCCTTCACAGTAGGCAGGGGCACGTTCTGAGGCAGAGTTCTTGCTAGCCTGGGGGGACCAGGGCTATATCCCGTACTTCAGCTGTTTCTTGGTTTGTAGGCTCAGACTGAGACCTTTTCTGTACTGTGCTTAGCCACTCTGTCTTAGCCCCTAGCCTTAGATTCATGCAGCATAGCTGGTGGCTCTTAATGCAGGAGTGTGGCTGTGCTGTGTGTATTTCATCTTTTTTTCTTAACTTGCACGGTAGGAACCTGGTATTGTTTAGACAAAGAGGAAGGTGTATTACTTTAATTATGCCTGCATGCCATGTGGATTTCTTGAGGTGTGTACAAGCCTCTGCTTCACGTTAATCAAAGGATAGCAGTGCTCCGCCAAGTTGGATCTGTTCAGACTTGTAACAGTCGGATCATTTATTAAGCTGACACCACGGGGTTGTGTGATGTTGGGCTTGTGCTTTTGTTCTTCTGTGGAGCACAAAGTGCCCCGAACTCCTGCAGCGCTTCCTGGGGCGGTTGATTCAGCTCTTACCAGGGTTAGCTGGCTTGTGGACTCAAGGTTTCTTGACTACTTGCTGCTTTCCTGGACTGCTGCTTGGCTTGCTCAGGAGGCCAGCAATGCCCCTCTGAGTATAGCCCTACAAGCAGAAGAAACTGTTCCTCCAGATGAGTTTGCTTTTTTTCTCCTCGCCCCCCTTTTTTTTCATCTCATGTTATTTACACATTACCCTACAGATTTAAGATAGAGATGGACAACAGGTTGGATGTACCTGTGTGCTGGGGTACAGGGCTTCTGCAGCTCCTGAGACTGCCTCTCTTGAGCTCCTTGTTCCTGGGAGAAGTTCCTCCTGAAGCTGTGTGGGTTGCTTTGTTTGTTTTATGGCAAAGGGAGATTCCTCGCATTTGAAGAGAGCGATGGCTGTGTAGTCTGCCTGTTCTCTGAGAGGCTGAAGCTGGCAGCAGTTTTCAACCTTTCCAGTAGTGGATGCATGTTCCAACTAGCTTTGTGGTATCTTCAGGCAGAAACTTCTGAAAGTGTAAAGTTGGAGACTATTTAAAAAAAAAAAAAAGCTTTTTTTAATTATGCTTGTTGTTTTGAGGGAGAACTTTCTCAAAGGAGAAGCTGTGAAGATCAAAAGGGGAATGAGTCATTCACAAACCTGAGTATTTATTAGATAAAAAGAATGTGTAAGTTGGGGGAGGCATGGGGAAGGCTGAGCGGTCCAGAAAGAATTGACTTTTCTTGAAATTTCCACTTAGCATAATAGGCATTTTTGACTAGTGGGAAATAAGTAAGACAAAGGAAATTCCTTGCCTATCTGTTTGCTTGATGATTGGTATGCCTTTGAGAGCAAATGAATGCATATTTGTTTGACACTTCAAATTAAAGTGGAGGTGTGTTTTCCTTTTAATAAACTTGCTGTCACTTGTTTTCAGCTGTGTTCACTGCGTCACTGCACCAACTTGCCATATCTCCTCGTTGCCAAAAAGAATTCCCTGTGTGGGTTTTTGATGTGTGTGCGTGCTTTGGTTTGGGCTTTTTTTAACACTTTGTGCCCCTAGTGTTGGGCTTAGTCCTTGTTGGCATGGTCAGTGTAACAGCGATATTGGTAAGAGCAGTTCTCTTGCACTTATTGGAGAGCTCAAGGTCTGAAAACAGGTGCTCAGAACACTTAAAACATAGCATATAATGTGAGGTTACATAGGGAAAGGGGGTGGGGGGAACAATAATTACATTAAAGTGTAGTTTGCACTAGCTAAATTTGACTAGTTTTAAATTACAATAAATTGTCTTGACTGTTGTGTTTGCTATGTAATGAGCTAACATGCTGCTGCTTGTAAAAAACTGCTTGGTTTGTTTTTTGGGGGTTTTTTTTGTGTGTGTGGTTTTTTTTTCAGCTTAACCATAAAGAAAAGCCTACTATAGTGTAATGGTTCCAGAGATGTTTTCTTAGCTTAGTATTTCTGAGCATCAGCTTGCTAATTTTGTTGGGTCATCCTGTTACATCTGTCGTTCTCTACAGAAAAATTTTTGTTAATGCCTCTTAAGTCTAATGGTAGCATGCACTTCTCTTCCCCTCTTCCTTCTCCACTTTTTTGCAGATTTCTGACTTTGGACTTGCAAAGTGTAATGGCTTGTCCCATTCCCATGACATCAGCATGGACGGCTTGTGTGGCACAATTGCGTACCTTCCTCCAGAGCGCATCAAAGAGAAAAACAGGTGTTTTGACACCAAACACGATGTGTACAGGTCAGTTAACTATGAAAACACTTAAACGCTGTAAGTAATACTGTAAAACGAGCCATCTTTTTCTGGTTATAAAACCTACTTGAGCTGAAACCCCTAAATCTAGTTTGAGCCTCATCTTGCAAAGGGTCACACTTGCTTTGCTTTTTGTAAAGTCTCATTGCAAGTAACACTTGTTTATTAGCAACTGGCATGGGAGGCACTCTGCCCACCTTTAATTTCCCGATCAAAAGGCACATCATGACCTACTTTTTGAGTCTGTGACAAAATTCGTAGTTGTCTTCAGTGTATTTCATCACTACGTCTTTGGTTCTTCTTGCATGGTAACGTTATTAGGAAAAGGAAATCATAGCTGTGCCATATTCTAAATGGAATGTATTTCTTTAAAGTTGTCTTGCAGGGTAGAAGTATTAAATAAAATCCACAGTAATGCTTTGGTGCTTTCTGGTTTTGTGAGTGTTAGCGTGGAGTAGTTGGTAAATGTTACTAAGAACTCTGCAGCCTCCAGCAAGTCCCTTTGTTCGCTGCCTCGGGTTCCTTCCTGCAAAAACTAGACTTTCAAATCATGGTTCTTGGCTGAATCTTGCTGTGTGTGTTCATCAACTGAATTAGATGCAGAAGTGAAGGAGAGGGGAAGAGAACTTAGGAAAAGAAATTATATTCCTGTGAGGTTTTTTAGCTTTTTGGGGTTTTGTTTTTTTAAAGCTTTTATAGAATATTTTTTTTTTTGCATTTATTTGTAGCTTTTCCATCGTGGTTTGGGGAGTTCTTACACAGAAGAAGCCTTTTGCAGGTAAGTTTGATGTGTGGGTTGTGTTGGAATTTTTTTCCTTTCTCCCATTGATAAGCATGCTTTCTGCCCCACTAGCCCCAGATTACACACATCCTCCAAATTCCTACAGTCTTGTGTGGACTTTTAAGCTCTCAGATTCTCATTACAAATTTAAGTGTCCTTTGGACTACATCGTGCAAGCAGAACCCATATTGCCACAGGGGGCCCTAGTCTGCACCTTTTTGCTTCTGCTGTACAGATCCAGACGAGTGCATGGCCTACGCAGACTCCTGACATGTTTGCGGCCAACGAGGAACAGTGCAGAGCAAAGCCAACTGGCAGGCAACCATGCTGTTTTCAGAAACCGCTTCTCTGTAGGGAGGTTCTGTAGTTTATTTGTAGATTGTGGGTACAGATTTGTTCTTAAAAAAAAAAAAAAAGGCTGTCTGAGAATAAGCCTTGTTCACCTCACAGTAAATGTAGCAGCTATTTATTCTTCATGACTTTTCCTGTGTGTATGACTAGCCTATGTATAGCAGACATGTTTGAACAGGTCCCAGTCTACTATTCATTTTTCTCCAAGTGGGAGATCCCATTTATCCCAATGGTTGACTTCAGAGTCAAGAGCCACATTATTGCCCTGCTTGATTTGTGTTCTTCCTTCACCTTTATGAAAAGTTCAGGTACCTGGTCTAAATAAAAGCTGTGGTTCAGTTTTCTTAGAGCAGATATGGAAACCCAAAGAGAGGTAGCCAAGAACTGTTTGAGGCTTTTTTTCCTTGGTTCTGTGTCTTTTATGGGTGGAAAAAGAACACAGTCACTCACTGACAATTTTTTTTAACTGTTACACAGGAACGTAGTGTTACTGCATTGACGAATGTATTGTGGGAGAGTGAGACCAACTTCTTTATCCCTGTTGATAAAAGAAAGCACTCTAAATCTAGAAAAAAAATGCACAAAAGCAAAGGTTTAGCCTAATACACTGTTAATGATCTTAGACAAAAGAGAAATAATTCCTTTTGCTGGGAGATCTTACTGTGTGTGCTTTTGCTTTACAGAGGAAAACAACATTTTACATATTATGGTAAAAGTAGTTAAAGGCCACCGCCCAGAGCTACCTGCTGTTTCCAAATCCAGACCTCAGTCATGTAATAACTTGATCAAATTGATGCAAAAATGTTGGCAAGATGATCCTGGTGAACGGCCAACATTTCAAGGTAAGATTTCCTCGTAACTTGGCTGCTCATTTATTCCTCTATGAGTCACATTATTGCTCAGGACTCTGTTAATCCTTGGGGTAAATGCTGTGAACCTCTGTGACAGAATAAATAGAGCACATTATATGGTAGAGACAATGATACAGGCCACTTACTCATTTGTGGACAAAGGGATTATCTGGGGACAAGTTTGACCATGATGGTGTTATGTAAACACATCAGGAGCAAGACCTGTACTAAACCAGTTGATCCATTTAGACAGAAATTATGTTCATTTCTTCTGGTGTGCATCAGGGCATATGCTAAGCTGGAGTTGGTGTGGTTTTCAACATACCAAAGCATTGTTGGCTCTTGAAATTTGCTGTTGTATGCTGAGAAACTGAATTGTTTTCTTGTAACAAAACAATTTGTAGTGTCATTTTTCTGCCAATAAAATGCAACTCAGATGAAAGGCTTGAACTTGCCCAAAGCAGCTGTTATGAATTCAAATGTGCAAAAGGATGTAGCAAGTGCTGTCTCCAGGTGGCTTCATTTAGCATTAATGGGAGAGATTTGCCTCTTCCCTCTCCTCCTGCCCAAACAAGGTATGGGGATTGAAGGGAAGAGGAATCTCATCTTTCTAAAAGCATATGTCTAAGTCTGCCAGCAGTAGACTGTTTCCCATTTCACAGTCCTGTGATGTAGCCACCATGTAACATTAGTCTAGTCTGACTGGGAAAATGAATCGGTTCAGTCACCCGTATGCACTCTTTGCTTGGCTACACACTTGTACCTACCGATGAGGTGCTAAGTGGAGTAGTCAAACTTTGAGTTTTTCTCCCACAGTATCTCAAAGCTGTTAAGCTCTAATGATAGAGCAAGGCAGCAGGGCATCTCAGAAAAGTCTCCTATTAAAAAAAAATAAAACAAAAAAATAAATAAACCCCTTTTCTTGCTTTCTTCAAAGAAATCACTTCAGAAACAGAGGTCCTTTGTGAAAAACCAGAAGATGAAACAAAAGAGATCATAACTCAGGACCTGGACACCAAGAATTCCCCAGAGCAGCAGCCCCAGGTATTTTCTCTTTCTGCCTCTTGTTCAAGTGCACTAGGTTTTGCGAGGAACAGGTTCATCGGTGACCTGTAACTTCCCAAGAAACCTGCTCTTTTCTGCTTTTGAGCACCTTCTTGCCTGATAGAAGTGGGTCTTGGTGAAAGACTGGAATGCAACTGTGGCAGCAGGTGCATGGACCAGCTCAGGAAAACCTCAGCACAGGACTAAGTGCAGATGGATCTTGGACTGTTGAGGGAGAGCAGGACAGTTAGGAAATAAAGGCTGGAACTATGTGGGTGTGACTGATGTTAAAAAACCGATGTAGACAGAAGAGCCATGTGGTTTTGGCTCTGTGAGTACTGATGAAAGCTGCCCTCCTGCATCTGAAAATTTTCAGTGACCTTATTCGTAGGTTTAATTTAATAAGAACAGTGCTTAAAAGCTACTTGCAAAGTCACAAACTGATGTTTCTTCCTGTAATGCCTCATGCTCGGTTTTCTTTACTGACACTTCTAAAATGCTTGTGTGCTTCTCTTGAAGAGGATGTCTGCATTATCCCAACCAAAACAGGAGCCTGCTCTACCATCAGTTAAGGATTACAGTCTGTCGGAGTTGTTGTCCCAGCTGGACTCGGGGATTTCACAGACTATGGAAGGCCATGAGGATCTCAGCCGCAGTTCTTCTGAGTCCAAACTTGCCTCTAGTGACAAGCGGCTCTCAGGAGTTTCATCTGTAGATTCAGCTTTTTCATCCAGAGGCTCCCTTTCCCTTTCCTTTGAAAGGGAGAGTTCAGGTAATGGTCAGGTTTTTCTTTGTTGTTGCTTGGACTGGGGCATGGGAGTCAATGGCTTGGAGAGTAGTCATATAAAGAATAGCATTCTGGAAATCACTGTTAGCCTTGCTTTCTCTTGCTGTCAACACTATGAATTTATTTAGTGGAGGTTGTTATGTGGAAGAAAAAAAAAAAAGAGGTGGTTCCCAAACGTGATCTAATGAGAAATAATAAATCTCATTTACTTTTGAAAATAAGTGACCTGAATTCCCATCAAAGCAATTGCAGAATCAGACATGTAAGGGTTGGTTGGAAGGAAGGTCACCTACTCCAGCGTCTTGCTCGAAGTGGGGCTAAAGCCAATGCCCAGTCAGGTTAGCTGAGTTTGTGGCCTTTTCAGTTATACTAAGCCCAAGTCTGAGCAGCCGCTGTTGTGCGCGTGCCCCTCCCTTTTCAATCCAGTGCTGCAGTTAGACAAACTATTTTCCAGTTACGCAAACAATAGTTAGTGCAGGGAGATCAACCACAGCATCCTTCGTTCTGCTTTTCACAAGAAATAGAATAAGAGTAAGTGGAGCTCCAAATGTGACCTACAATTGTTTTGAAACTACTGCGGGGGCAGGGAGGATTTCTTTGCAGTCAAGTCATTGCTGAAGCCACCAGATATGTTACCCATGGGCAAGTAAGGTTTGATGGGTATCCAAATTGTGATGATGTCTGTTTTCATAGAATCATAGAATAGGTTGGGTTGGAAGGGACCTTTAAAGGTCATTTAGTGCAACCCCCCTGCAATGAGCAGGGACATCTTCAAGTAGATCAGGTTGCTCAGAGCCCTGTCCAGCCTGAATGTTTCCAGGGATGGGGCATCTACCACCTCTCTGGGCAACCTGTTCCAGTGTTTCACCACCCTCACTGTAAAAAAATTTCTTCCTTATATCCATCTAGATATTGGTACTACAGACATACAGAAGAGGAAGCTAACGGAGGCCATTTTATCAGGAGATACCAGCAAGCTGATGAAGATCCTCCAGCCTCAAGATGTTGATATTGTTTTAGATGGGAACTCCAGTCTTTTGCACTTGGCTGTTGAAGCTGGTCAAGAAGAATGTGTCAAATGGCTCCTCCTGTACAATGCTAACCCTAACCTCACCAACAAGAAAGGGTCCACCCCTCTTCACATAGCCATTGAGAAGAAAGTTAAAAGCATTGTGGAGCTGATTATGGCTAGGAAAATCAATGTTAATGCCAAAGATGAGGATCAGTGGACTGCTCTTCACTTTGCTGCCCAAAACGGGGATGATTTCAGCACCAAAATGCTGCTTGATAAGAATGCATCCTTAAACGAGGTAGATTTTGAAGGCAGAGCCCCCATCCACATAGCCTGTCAGTATGGTCAAGAGAATATCGTGCGTATCCTGCTGAGAAGAGGTGTTAATGTGAACGTCAAAGGAAAGGATGACTGGGTACCACTGCACTATGCTGCCTGGCAAGGTCATCTCCCCATTGTAAAGCTTCTAGCCAAACAGCGGGGTGCAAATGTGAATGTGCAGACCGTGGATGGAAGGACCTCGCTACACTTGGCTGCTCAACGAGGACACTACCGTGTCGCTCGCCTTCTCATAGACCTGGAGACAGATGTCAACATACGCAACGCACTCTTACAGACTGCTCTCCACATAGCTGCTGAAACTGGCCACACAAGCACATCGAGGCTGCTTCTGAAACATGGTGCAGACATCGAGGCAGCAACAGCAGAAGGATACACTGCTCTGCACTTGGCATCTCGCTGTGGCCATTTAGCAACAACCAAGTTGCTGATAGATGAAAGGGCCAGTGTTCTAGCCCCAGGCCCTTTAAGTAGGACAGCGTTACATCTTGCTGCAGAAAACGGGCACTCTGAAGTAGTAGAAGAACTTGTCAGTTCAGAAAATATCAATGTTTCTGACAGTGAAGGGTTGACAGCTCTTCATCTGGCTGCACGAGGAGGGCACACCAAAACAGTTGAGGTTCTTCTGAAGCACGGGGCATGCACTGACATGCAAAGACCCACGTGTCAGTCCCTGCTACGGGTTGCTCAGCAGAGCAGTAATAGCTCTGTTACGGTGTTGATAAGTGAGACTTAAGCAAAAGGTACATAACTTGCTACCTTTCTACCTGGTGTAAGAAGGCTGCCGGAGCTTGACTCATGAGGGCCTTCTCCCATTGTGCAGTGACCAGCTGCGGTGTCAGCTGATGGACTGAGGTGCAACCAGAAGAAGCTACTTGGGTTTGAGTGTATGAGTGAGAGTGCACATGGACAAAGGCCAGATGTAAGGCTAAGAGCTGGAGTCTGCCATGCTGTGGTCTGTATCAGTCATTCTGCGTGTGCCTGACATGTCTGTATACTGACATTCCCCTCCCAAGGAAGCTGTAAGAGAAGGATGCAACTTATGGGTTTCCCCCCCTGCTTTTTTTTTTATGTGCCAAACTAATTTAAGAACTAACATTCTGCTTTTTTATTTTCCTCCAAAAAAAAAAAAAAAGGATGGTGTAGATTCCTGGTTTATTGCAGTGATCTCTATTTTGGGCTGAAAGCTTCCAGTGTAAAATAAACACAACACAAATGGGCTTGAAATTAATAAAAGAGATGAGGAAAGGGCTATAAGATAAAGTTAATCATGTTTCAGTGTTAGAAGGTACTCTGTTTCAGGGAGACATTGATTACAGATTTCCATGTACTCAAAATTGTCACAGACTTATTACCAAGGCAAGATCCCACAAATAAATAAGCAGAAGTAAAAGCTTAACACTGTTATCTTCATACACAGCACCACTTTGTTTGTATTCTAAGATCAGTAAGCTGAACTAGGTGCTTAGTGGTTTGTCTTAAATGAAAAAGTCAAAAGTGGAAATTCATACTGGACTGTAACTGGATGGTATATTCTGACACCATTGTACCAATTTGCAAAACAATGTTTGGAGGGGCTGATGACTAGACTGATATACTGTGTATATAGTATTTCTACCTGTTGTATGTTTTTTTCTACTGAAGAAAATAGATTGCTTAGAGTGGGTATGTTTTAATACACCTTTTAATGTCACTCTTTTCAAAGTTCAGATGTGATCTGTTATTAATAAAAGACTGTTCTATATGTGCCTGTATTGTGTAGTTGTTAAAGCAACTGAAAACCCATTGAAGAGCAGCAGCACAAAACTATAATGTGTTTAATGATGTTGAAACCCAAACTGTTGACATGTAAGGCTGTCGTCAGTTTTACATTCCCCTTAGCTTTTATATGGAAGGTAAAGAGCTTGGGTGAATTGGAGGTTTTACTTACAGAATAAATTTATAGAACAAAATGCCATATAACGTAGGCTTTATGTGCGTAACATGTCGACGTACAGCTGGGGTGCTTTCCTCTTATGCTGTAGCTGTTCAGGGAGTCTAGGTTTTTTTCCCCAGCTTGAAGCCAAGTCAAATGCGTTTGCATCTTCCCTGTTGACTGGGGGGCTGCTGCCCAGACAGGTACACGGCAGTGTGTTCCCACCAGAGCAAGCAGCAGTGTCATGCTTTGCTCCCACCTCCTCTGACAGGAAAGCTGCTCCTGCTTCAGACCTTTTTTGCACATGCCTGATGGCAGTGATAGGAATACCAGTGCTATCTCAGTGTCTGATTTTAGGAGTCAAAGTGCTCCTGTGGGAATCTAGCCCCATGAAAGTCAGTACTTTCTTAAAAAAACAAACGGCCTCCTGTCATTGCAGATGGTAGTGGCTGAGGGCAATAACCAAAGGAGCCTGCTGTTGTTTGATACTGTTCCTGGCTCCAACAGGTACCTCTATGCACCTGTGTGCAACTCCCCAAGTTCAATTTTTTGCATGGTTCACTGACTGCCTGATGAAACTGTATTAACGAATAGATGGTGAAGCCACGTTCATGCCAATATATGGAGGTTCCAAAGCAATATACTTCTTACTGGAGTGTGGCAGTCACAGCAAGCTTCCTAAAGATGCTGACAGTGAAACTTCCCATTAAACAAACAAAACTGTAATTTTCTTACTGCTTGCTTCAACTTCTTTTAAGACCAATAAGGTTGTCATGTTTCATTAAGCTGTACTTAATCAGCCTCTCTTTATAGCAAATTCAACCACAGACCACTTGGTCCCTCAAGTCCTGTGCCACTGTGATTAAACACTTGGCCCAGCCTAGCACACACCAAACCCTTGTATTTCAAAGTCCACTGAACAGTGACATTTCAGATACTTCAGTTCCAGTAGTATTTGCCTTAACTGCAAAAGAGCTGTAAGACCAGGTAACAGCAGTCTTGTGCCTCCTAATAAAGGTGTGTGTGTGCCAGCTAGGCAAGGGGAAAGTACACTTATAAAATGCTTTTAAAACAGCTCAAGCACTGCTTTGCCAGTACATTCCTTCAGTGCCTAATAATAATAGCACATTAGCTTCTAATTAAACATGAGGCCACACTCATGAGTCTTTATTTTCCATGCCATCTTTCACAATAACAGGCACCAGCTATGCATTACATAGAAGGCAATGCAGCTGGTACTGGTGAAAAAGAAAAAAAAAAAAATGGAGGGATTGCAATGACATGCTGCCAGTACTGGAGTGGGTATTTGTCCCCATGAGCCTGCCTTCCTTAGGGGCAGGAGAGGTGAATGGTGGTGTTAAAATTTTCACTAATGCAGCAATTATGAATTATTTTGTAAAGTTCACGTGCGGAAGACTCTCCTGGTCATATGTGCACTCTTCTGACTTAGCTGAAGTCCTAGCTGGGCTGCTGACCTAAAGCTTACAGGCATTTCTTTGCCTCTTTCCGATCTTAGCCAAAAAATAGACAGAACCACCTAATGGCAATATTAGGATTTGTTGCAACTTACCTACAAAAAAAAAAAAAACCCAAGCAAAAATTTCTAAAAAAAAATTTTTTTTCCCAGACCCTACCACAAATGCAGGCTTGGTATCATTTGACTTCTTTTCACTAGTTGAGTTGGCAGGTTGACCTTCGCTGCCCCAACTCAGAAAGGAAACCTGTTCCCCCCACCACTTTCTGCCAACTTTCCTCCCTCAACTTCAGCTCACACCCTGAAGCAAGCCAAGGCAATGGCTTGAAACAGCTGCTTAGCTGCAGGCTCTGCTCACTCACCCACCAGCTCCAGCCCTCATGCAAACCCCCAAAACGTGCACAAGACCCCACACGCCCAGGAAGCGTGTCTGAGAGGTGCTGTGAAGGCAGAGAGGGCTCCACAGAGCTGAGCCTTGCTCCAGGTCCTCCATGCTGCCTAACTGCTCCCTGGCAGCAGAAAGGGCTGTGAGATGAACATAAACTCCTCTTGCTTGCCTCCAAAATCAGGTAGAAGTTGCTTGCAGGGTGGGTTTCTGTGCACACCATGGTTGCCTGCTTCCTTAGGGCTTCTGACCGTGGTCCCAGGTGGCTATTTCAGCCCAAGGAGCAATGAACATAGGAAAAAAGATACATTGAAATGGTCTTAGTGACCATAAGCTTCACCTTTTCATCTTGAGACATGATTTTTCAACCTGGCCCCTGCCTGCATGCCTGCGGTAGTGTAGTCTGGGTTTCTGCCAGCACCCACTGGTGCTGGCTCCCCGAGCAGGAGCCCCAGCAGCGGGGAAGGTGCCTCACACCATCCCCATTCCGACTCCTTCATCCCAGCCTCCGCCTCCGGGGGACAGCGCAGCCCCTGATGCATTACCTGTCTCCACAACAGTTTGTTCCCAGCACCCAGTAGCGTTATTTACCTGCTACTTAGCGCGAGGTGCTGCAGAGCCGTGTTTCTACAGGCCTCGAGAAGACTCGACAAGCCCATGGTTCAAACACGCTCGCTTGGCAGTGGCGGTGAGGGGAGAGAATTGCTGGGTGATTGCAAAGAGGCCCGGAGGCAAACCTCAGCCCTTTCATGCCTGCCTCCTCTCTTGCACCACCTTGGCTCTGAGCAACAGGGTTGCAAGAAAAACAAGGCATGTGGGAGCTGCTCTAGAAGGTCTGCTTCAGCAGAGAGGTCTGGGGGGTGGGTATCTGCTTTCCTCCACACTCCTTTAACCCCAGCTGGGTGGCAGAAGGTGCAGACCAGCCAAAAAAACCAGGCAAAAGCCTTCAAGTGCCACGGTGCTCAGCTGCTGGGGTGCAAACCTATGTTACCTCCCCCACTGCTGATCAGATCCCGTGGTCCCTGTGCCTTGGGGAGGGACCGTCCAGCCTCTCCCCTTCCCTCTCTTGTCTCAGATTGGGAGGACTTTCTTCAAGCAGCATTGATGTTGATCTGTTTCTTTGAAGGAGATCCACACAAGCAAGGAAGAAAGAGTGCTGGGCTTCTTTACACCCCAGTCCAGGGGCCAGGGGTTTGAGATAAGATGTCAGCCGCACTTAGCCTGTCCTGTTCTTTGCCCAAAAATGCCTGCATGTGTGCCCAGGCCTCTGCATGAAGCCTTCAACTGCTTTTGTACCACTGGTTCAGTATTGCGGAGGGATAGATTATGCACAGCACCACTCCACTCCCTCCCTTCTCCCTGCTTTTGGGGTGCACTTTAACCCAGGGGTTGTGGCAAAATGCCTGTCTCTGACCCAAACCAGGGAGACATCTGCAACCCAAAGTGGATGCTGATTAAACAGAGCAGCGTAACAGCACAGGAAGCCCTTTCAGCTGGGGAGGTGGCAGAAGGCAGATCCCAACATGCTGGGCTGCTGTAGTCGCTTGGCAGCTGAGTGTCAGGGGCTGCTGGCAGCAAGACACAGGGCTGGGGACAGCACGTTGTGGAGCCGGGGACAGAGTGTTGTGGGAAGGGCTGGGAGTGGCACAGCGAGGCTGTGCCAGCGGGGCAGCAGGCACGATGCCCCGTTTGGGCTGGGAAGCCCTTGCTGCTGCACTGGGGAAGTCCTGAGCTTGTAGTGAAGCACGCGGCAGGCACATGAGCATAACCAGGTTTTAAAAATCAATGCTGCCACCACCTTATTTGGCTTGTGTTTTTGAAATGCTGTGGGAGAGGCTTTCAGGCTTTTCTGTGCAATTATGTAGAGCAAAGACCATTTAAAAGCTAATAAAGGAGCAACTTGCAATCTGCACAGAAACACCTGGCTTTGGGAGGCTTGAGAAGAAACATGGAGAAGCACAA